CTAGAAGCAACTCGTGCCTCTGAAGGTCTTCCTTGCACAGAGACAAAAAGAATCGGGCAGCCAAGATGGCCCAGTGGCCCTGTTAAATTTCTCGTCAAATTCCGGTCCTGGGAAGGAAAGCAGCTTTGAAGACTTTCGCTCTTTGGGAGTTGCGCTCCAGCCCGGAGGAAAATGAACGGAGGAAGACCAGTGTGGGAAGGAGCGGCGGTTTGCCCTCCTCCTCTTTGTAGGGAGAGCAGCGCGATAGTCCCAGAAGGGGCCAGACAGAAGGTCCAGAATGAAGGAACAATCGGTTTCGGGGCAAAAAGACAATCCTTCAGGGAGTTCCGCTACCAGGATGCTGAGGGTCCCCGGGGACTCTGCAGCCGCCTCCACCACTTTTGCAATCAATGGTTGAACCCAGAAAAGCACACAAAAGCCCAGATGTTGGACCTGGTGGTCCTGGAGCAGTTCCTGGCCATCCTGCCTCCGGAGATGGGGAACTGGGTGCAAGAGTGTGGAGCCGAGACCAGTTCCCAGGCGGTGGCCCTGGCCGAAGGCTTTCTCCTGAGCCAGGCGGAGGAGAAGGAACGGGGAGAGATGCAGGTCTGGTTGGTTCCGAGCGGGGGAATAATGCCAGTCTTGAATATTTGAGGCATTTTTACATGGTACCGTTTCCACGCTGTGTTATATGCTTCTGAAGCTGGGTTGTTCTGTGTTCCCACCTGTGGTTCTTCTAATGCCCTTCTTTGCTGCTCTCCCCAGTTGCAGGTGGAGGCATCATTTCTGGGGTTGATTGCTGAGCCCCCCGAACCAAGAAGGAATCCAGTAAATCTTGGTCACAACTATTTTCTTGGGGATATCTCTCCAAAGGATCTAAGTCAGGACGTGACGCCAGGTAAGGGAGGATTCCTTCTGATTGCAGCAAAGTTCTTAATAGTTCTCAGAGGGTTTTCATTCCTGGTCTTTTAAAATCAACTCATGGCCTTGCCTGTTTGAATGGCATTTGTTTCTAGTTTTCCCTTGACTTTATAAAGCTTGTTTTTTAAAAAACGTCTGTTTCCTCCATCTTTGTCTCAGTCCCAGAGAACAGAGTCATATACCAGCTGGTAGTAGGAGAAACGTCTCCTCTTTCTGGTGAAGCAGAAACAGACGTTGGGCTTCCAGTGCAGGTAGGAGGAAAATTTCCTGTACCCCGAAAAGTGCACACGTGATTAAGATAAGAAGCCTCCAGTCCATCCCCAATAATTCAAACTCTGTTCCAGTGTGAGTCCCTTTTGTTCCCAGAAGGTCCACCTGGTTGGTCCTTCCCTTGAACCGCTGCCTCCTAAAAAAAAGCTTATATGTGGAGCATCCCTGGAGGATGGAAGGCAGAGCTGGAGCTGCTGGGTCCAGAAGAAGTTTGTGATTTGGGCATATAGAGGCACTGAATCCTGTGGAGATGCAGTGAGGTTTATCAGCCTTTGGGACCAGGGTGGTGTCAAGGGAGAGTGGAGAAGGAAATCTGCCCTTTTTCGCTCTCAAATTCTGAAACCAGCCAGGAAAACGTTTATGAGTTTCATTGCTTTGGAGGTTTATGAGAGAACTTGTTATTTCCCAGCTTTTCTGTTAAGAAACTTTTCTTTTCTCTTTCAGGATCCCATATCCTTCAAGGAGTTGTCTGTCTGCTTCACCAAGGAGGAGTGGGAGCTGCTAGATCCCGATCAGAAAGCTCTGCATGGGGAAGTCATGCTGGAGATGTCTAGGAATGTGGCTTCTCTGGGTAAAAATCCCTCTTTGTACTCTGTCCAAATAGTTGGGTGTGGCATTTATTAGTTAGAAGGAATATATTTAACTGTATCTTCCAAGATGTTCCCCAAGCAGGACACCAGCTTGGCTGTTAGATTCTGTAAGTGGAAGTGTAGGTAATGAGTATCAAATTGGCAACTGTATGAATCAGTGAAAGTCAAAAGCCAAATATCACATCTACTTAATACGATCTGTACTGGCAGTTCGGAAAGGGATCTTGGGAGTTTCCTCCGAGAAAATGCCAATCCATTGTGAGGGTGCTGGACAAAAATGCAAAAACCATGTTTGGGATTATATGGAACTTAAAGAAAAAAATCAGTAGGAAAAGGCTCTTATAGAAATGTGTGATCTGACTGTAGGTAAAAATCATGTAAATGTATTTCTTTTCAAGACCTCAGCAATGTTGTAAAGCACGATAGGATCCAGAAAGAAGAAACCAAGCTGATTGGAGATTAGAGAATTTGCTCTACTGGAAAGATGATAGTTATTTGGATTATTTAATTTGGAGCAAAGATGGGTCAGTGGAGACATGACGCGGGATATAAAACCATGCACCGCATTGAAAATGTGAATAAAGGATAAAGAATAAAGAAAAGTTTCCTTGCCCGCTAACGGTATTAGAACTCAGTATCTCTCCATTAAAATGAAATGAGAGATACTTAGAAGAAAAAGGGAATTCCTTCTACAATGGATAGCTTTAATTGGAATTTTCAGCCACTGTTTTTTCTCTCTCAAGCAGGCAATGAGCAGAAGAATGAGATTTACCAGGAACCGGGGGTAACACCATTACAGGTTTTTAAGGTCGAAGTGAGAGAAGAGACCTTTTCAAATCAAGAGCAACCAAAAGGTGAAGTCAGAATCCAATTAAACGATCAACAGAAAATACATCCTCCTCCTCTATGTCTGGAAATCTATGATTTGCTGACCCAAGAAGATCTTAACGGAAAGAGGACGGGAGAGTGTTTAGGCTGTGATGAAATACTTGAAGAACAATCAAAGCTCAGTAACTTGTGTGAATGGAGACAGGAAAGAAACTGGTACAATGAGAGCTTCCCTCCTCATTGGAGAGATGCGATGGGGGAAAGAGCATTTGAACGTAAGGACTATGAAAACAGCTTCAACTATGCCAGTAAGCTTATTTCCCATAAAAGGAACCACAGTGGAGAGAATCCATATAAATGTATAGTGTGTGGAAAGAGTTTCACGAGAAACGATAAACTTATTGCCCATATAAGAATCCACACAGGGGAGAAACCGTATAAATGCATGGAGTGTGGAAAGAGCTTCACGAGGAATGATATACTTATTTCCCATAAAAGGATCCACACAAAAGAGAAACCATATAAATGCATGGAGTGTGGAAAGAGTTACAGTCACTCCAAAAGCCTTATATCTCATGAAAGTATCCACAAAGGGGAGAAACCATATCAATGCATGGAATGTGGAAAGAGTTTTGGCCAATGCAGTAGCCTTATCTACCATAAAAGGATCCACACAGGGGAGAAACCGTATAAATGTATGGAATGTGGAAAAAGTTTCACAAGGAATGATACACTTATTTCCCATAAAAGAATTCACACGGGGGAGAAACCATTTAAATGCTTAGAATGTGGAAAGAGCTACAGTCATTCCAGAAGCCTTATTTCGCATGAAACTATTCACAAAAGGGAGAAACCCTATCAATGCATGGAATGTGGAAAGAGCTTCAGCCGATGCAATAGCCTTACCTCTCATAAAAGGATCCACACAGGAGAGAAACCATATAAATGCATGGAGTGTGGAAAAAGTTTCAATCACTCCAGTAACCTTAGAACCCATAAAAGTATTCACAAAGGAGAGAAACCACATAAATGCATGGAGTGTGGAAAGAGCTTCACAAGGAGCACAGATCTAACTTCCCATAAAAGAATCCACACAGGAGAGAAACCCTATAAATGTATGGAATGTGGAAAGAGCTTCACTCACTCCAATACCCTTACTTCCCATAAAACCATTCACACAGGGGAGAAGTCATATAAATGCATGGAGTGTGGAAAGAGCTTCAGTACAAACAGCTCTCTAACTTCCCACAAGAGAATCCACACAGGGGAGAAGCCGTATAAATGCATGGACTGTGGAAAGAGTTTCAGGACAAGCAGTTATCTTACTTACCATAAAAGAATTCACACAGGGGAAAAACCTTACCAATGCATGGAGTGTGGAAAAAGGTTTAATCATCCCAGCACTCTTGCTTCCCATAAAACTATCCACACAAGGGAGAGACAATATAAATGCCTAGAATGTGGAATGTGTTTTACTCAGAGTTGTCACCTTACTTCCCATAAGAGATCCACAATGGGCTTTAACTATATAAACGCATAAAATGCGGTAAGACCTTTCAGTCTTGTGACCTGAATTTGCAGTGCTTTAGTGAGAACACTCATTTTACCAAACCTCAAAAAGAGATGACCACATAGGTTAGTAAGTTGATAATATTTCTTGCCAGAGGTTATGCATAGCCCTTGGTGGTGAGCAGTGTTCAACATTTCAAACTGGGTGGGTGCAGGAAAAAATCTAAATTTTATTTTCTTTCTCTTACCATTTAAATTTATTAATATGAAGATCAACACGTTACATATACATCATATATTTACTCCCTTGTATTTTTATTGATTTCCCTTGTCATATTAAGTGTTACAGGCTGATGACATACCTTATATGGGGCTTTGGAAGCCATAACCAAATTTTTGAAGGGGCCATGTGATCCTTTGGCCTGTGGATGTACAAAATTTACTCTTGAACTCTCAGATGATAGGGTTGACCCTGCTTTGACTTGTGTTTTCCCCCCAAGCAAAGTGTAAAGTGCTAGAGAAAATAGAGAAAGTGAAAGTATTTTTCTTCAGTGTGTATCATAAAATTAGTTTTAGGAATAATGAAATTGCTTGTACTTGAAGCCAAGTGTTGTGTTCCTTAAACAAAAGTGATTGACCCAGAAGCTTATCTCAAAATTATAGAAAAATTTAAAGTTTCCAAAGAGTCAACTTAGATTGTTTATGCTGATTAAAGAGGAGAAAGATGAGAATGCTTGTAAAATACTCATAATGTTACTTTTTTAAACATGGTGATGATTAATTCATATCTTTAGGAGTATTCATAGAAATGAATGGGA